TCCTTGGTCATTTTAACAATGAACAAGCACTCATAAACTCCCCCAATCTTGAGGTTATAATCCTCATTCATTTCTTCCTCAAATTAATATATTTTGAGAAAAAACTAATTGTTTTTCAAGAGAGTGTTCTTGTCATCCATAGAGCTTAATCTTTTCTCATTTCTACTCTTGTGGGAGTTATTGTTGTGAGGCTTAAGAAGGTTGTTCTTCTTATTGTATAAGACTTATGTGACTTAAGGCTTGATTGTGAAGTCTTGTAGAGGACATATCTACGAGCGGTTGTGTCGAGGCTTGTGGGATTCAAGTTCTCGAGTTGTAAACGGTTTGTTAAGCACCCGTAAGCTTAACGGAAGTAGTGGTAGCTTCGAGAGAGTCTCTCGGGGAACTGGACTAGCCATGAGGTGGTGAACCAGTATACATCGGTCTGTTCTTTGCCTTCTCTCTCTTATTTCCGCTGCACTTTCGTTTATCTTTTTAAGCCTGCGAAAATTGGTAGACATTCTCAACAACTCTATTTTTTTCTCCTAACCATCGAGGACCCAAAAGTGGTTGGGTACTTAATTTTTATTCTTAGATGCCCATGGAAGGTGTGTTTGAAGACTACAAATTTGTAGTGGATGCTCCAAGCACTTCGCCAAAGAGATTGCATCAAAGGAGAGTCATTATATATTTTTTAATGAATTTATGTAAAAAAAATTTGGGGAATATACATAGGATGTTTTGCATATAGTAAGGGGGAATTTATTGCTATATGTGTTAATGCTTTTTTATGCCTTATTTTTAAAGGGGAGATAGCATACATTTAGGGGGAAGTATTTTTATTTTCTAGAAATGCATGTTTTTAGGGGGAATGTAATTTTTCTTATATGTTTAGATTTTTTTCTCTCCCCGGAATGCATGAGTTCTTTTGTTGCATTATTTTTAATAATGCCAAAAGGGGGAAGAGTATAGGAGTATATGCCTTATTTTGTTATTTGTTGGTAGCATATCCTCCATGTGTTTGTCATTATCAAAAAGGGAGAAATTGTTGGAATGCATGAGTTCAACCCTTTCTGTGTTGTTAAGTGTTGACTCACAGGTTTTGATAATTGACAAACACAATTTATTCAAGTCAAGATAAAAGTGCTACAGTGACAAACACGTAGACTTGAAGTGCCATTCCTTGAAGTATTGAAGAAGGTGCGCAGGATTTTATTGGAGTCCGAGATGCGTTCGGAGCGCCTAACGGAGGACTCGGAGGAGTAGAAGAATTTCCGAAGACTTTTTATTTATTTGAGTCTTAGGAATTATTGTAAGGATGACAAAAATATCTTCTCTCCAAATATTATTTTTATGAGAGTAAATATAAAAATAATATATTTTTGGAGTCAGTTGAAAAATCCTTTTAACCGTTCAAAATACGTTCATTGAGTCAGTTACAAAAGGTGTGTCAAACATTTATCAAAATATTTATTTTGATATTAGAAAATATTTTTGGAAAGCAAAAATATTTTATTCAAATATTTTCGTGTTTATCGTTTGACACACAAAATATTTTTGGGACTCATTTTCTACACCAAAAATATACTCTCATAATTCAAATTTGAATTTGAATTATATTTGTTGATTGGGCAGCCTTTTGATTTGATTTTTATGTCCTAAACAAGTACTAATTTCCAAAATAGCACTTCACCTCGCACACATGATTGTGTCCTTCTTGTTTGGGCATAATTGCTTCAAAAATCGATTTTTACACTTTGGCAAAAATCGATTATCAATTTGTCCGCTGAAGGATTTTTGCACAGACTGCATTAATCGATTACCATGGTGCATTAATCAATTTTTATCCTGCATTTTTTAGCAAACTCTTTTTTCTAAGCTCCAACGGACATATTCCTTCACACCCTTATAAACTCCTGTCCTTGGTCATTTTAACAATGAACAAGCACTCATAAACTCCCCCAATCTTGAGGTTATAATCCTCATTCATTTCTTCCTCAAATTAATATATTTTGAGAAAAAACTAATTGTTTTTCAAGAGAGTGTTCTTGTCATCCATAGAGCTTAATCTTTTCTCATTTCTACTCTTGTGGGAGTTATTGTTGTGAGGCTTAAGAAGGTTGTTCTTCTTATTGTATAAGACTTATGTGACTTAAG